GGAGAGGAAGAGAATTACTACTCAAAAACTTTATAAAATATTGTAATAATGACACCATGGGACAATAGAGAGTTTTAAAAACAATATAAAATTAACCTGCCTATCGTATTTCCAACCATTTTGACTTTGGGCTTGACTTATTTCAAAAATTTGTTCTAGCGAACGGAGTATTAAATCGCTATGCAGACCATCATCATCCATCATTGTGTATGTCTTTCTGGATACCGTTTTTCTGTATGCAAAAATGCATACATGTTAAATACAATAAAATCATATATTTGAAATATAAAAGAAAAGGATAGTTATGGATTGAAAAAACTACTTTTAAGGTTGATGAATAAAAACACAAATAACATTGTATCCGTCAATGGCGCTCTGAACCAACTGTGATATCCCCAAGAAGACATCCTATTGAGAAGCAGAAGGAGCAAACACTTTATCAAAAAGAAATTGTTGTTTTTAGCCTGCAGAGTTTAAATATGATCTTCTTTTCCAATTAAAATTAATCAAAACAATAATATTCTAATATGTTAATATACCATTTTCAGTTTCCATATTTAAAAAATAATAAATAAAAAAAACCATTGTGTTGTATATCAATCCCTCAGCCAACGGATCCAACATAAATATCCTGCAATTAGAGAATTAAACTCAAGTGTTTCTTATTTAAAAAAAAAACATTTATGCTAAAAACCTTCTTTTGTGTTGATCAATTAGATGAATAGAACACATAATAAGGTTTTTGGCAGAAGTGTTTTTTTATTTTTTTTTAAATAAGGAACGCTTGGATTTACTGTCTCTAATTTCAGGATAATTCTGTTGGATCCGTTGGCTGAAGGATTGATATACAATATAATGAATTTTTTTTTATTATTTTTTAAATCTGGAAACTGGAAATGGTATATTAGAAGATTATAGTTTTGATTAATTTTAATTGGAAAATAATGTCATATTTAAACTCTGCTCGCCAAAAACAACAATTTCTTTTTGATAAAGTGTTTGCTCCTTCTGCTTCTCTAGAGGATGTCTTCTTGGGGATCACAGTTGGTTCAGAGCGTCATTGACGGATACAAGGGTTATTAGTGTTTTTATTCATCAACCTTAAAAATAGTTTTTTCAATCCATAAACTAGCATTTTCTTTTATATTTCAAAATATATGATTTTTATTGTATTTAACAGGTTTGTATTTTTGCATACGGGGAAACGGTATCTAGAAAGACATACACAATGATGTATTATGATGGTCTGCATAGCAGTTTAATACCCCGGTCGTTAGAACAAATTTTTAAAATAAGTCAAGCCCAAAGTCAAAATGGTTGGAAATACGATAGGCAAGTTAATTTTATATTGTTTTTAAAACTCACTATTGTCCCATGGTGTCATTATTACAATATTTTATAAAGTTTTTGAGTAGTAATTCTCTTCCTCTTCATATGTTTTGGTTTCCATTATAAAAATTTACAACGAAAAGCTTCATGACTTGTTGGCCGGTGGAAGAGAAGAGCATAAACATAAGATTAGGGATGATACAAATGACAATAGATACGTTGAGGGGTTTACCACTGCCAATATTGGCAACATTGGGGACGTATCAGATCTTCTTGAATGGGCTGCAGGAATAAGGTCTGTTTGTTTTTTTTTCTTTCATTTTTCTTTTGTATTAAATAGTTTCTATGAATATCTTAATTTTTTTTCCAATCATCCTTTAGGAGAGTTGGAAAAAGTGAGAAGAATGATGCATTTTCTCGAAGTCACATGGTCGTGACTTTAAAGATCAATGGAAAAAATGACGTAATTTTTTTAAGAGTCTAGCTGTTATATATAAATTCATTTCGATTAATTAAACTGAACCATCTTGATACATTTCCTTGTATTTATTAAATTGTAGAGAACCGGCGAAGGAAAAAAAGGGGTGCTAAATCTTATTGATTTAGCTAGCAATGAAGCGGTGACAAATGAGAGCAACAGCAAGCCACTGCGGAAACAAAGGTCCAAACTTGAAATTCATACATTTTTTTTTGTAACTTTCACATGAAAACAGAATTTTGATTTTAATTTTCTACTTGTTTTTTTTCAGGAAATCAACACTAGTTTGACTACACTGGGCAGGATTTTTTGTCAGCTTGGAAATAAGAAACATAGTCATGTTAGTTATAGAGTCGACGCTTACTTATCTTCTCAAGGTAATGCCTGATTTTCTTAGGAATATCTTAGTTTTTCTTTTCATTTTGTTTGGATATACAAAATATAAATGTTTCTTTTCTTAAAATAGTTTCTAATTTTATAACTAATTCAATGTGTAGTCTTGTTTGTCCGGAAATTCAAAGGCTCTAATGTTTGTCAATGTTTCACCCGATCCATCACCTTTGATACAATCAATAAACTCATTCCGCTTTGTCTCACAAGTGAACTCATGCGAGATTGGAATCCAACGTCCTCAGACCACCACCACCAAGCGAATGCGTGTTTGAGTCGCGGGTGAAACCAGAGCTGAATGGAGTTAGAGATGGTTTTCAAATATGAAACTTATTATGAATTCAAATTTATACGTTATATATTGTAGTATGTGCAAAATAATTCATTAAACATAATTAGTTTGGCTGAGCATCTTGGAACTAGGATTTGTGATCATGTTCCCGAAACACCAAACAAGCTCTCGGAAGATATAATCAAATGCATGTCGGCTTTTGCAAGCTTGCGGAACCACCTCTTGCAAATCATGAGATTTTATCTCCTACTTCATCTTTGTCATCAATGGGGGCATTTTCACCCAAAGACCATTCGGGCATGGACATGTGGAGTCCAGGGTTTAAAATGGTATCATTGTCTTTTGATGTGAGATTACATAACCCTTTTCATGTTCAAGGGCTTTAAAGATATGTTGCAAAATTTCAGGTAATAAGATAAGATTAAGAGATTAGTATTTTTTTTTTTTGAATTAATGTGTGTGTTGACTTATTGTAGGTTGCTTGTTTCAGGTAATAAGATAAGATTAAGAGATTAGAAGAGGCGGATCCTAGAAATTGAAGCATGAGGAGAAGTTAGCATTTTGGATTAATGTACATAATGCATTGGTGATGCATGTATGTATGACTCTCATAAATTCATTTTTATGCTTTTCTTTTTGCAAATCCTATATTTTCTTTTTGAAAGTAAGTGAAACACTTGTTCTTTGAACATTTTTTGGTCAAAGTGTAAAGGGTCTTTATGGGTTTGGTTTAAAGATCAATCATGATATGAATCTTGAAAAAGTTGGTATTTTTTAGGTTTGTTGCAGTCTACAGTCTACTTAAAAGTTAAAAACTTGATATGAATCTTAGAAAAAGATTGCATTTTTTCTAATTTGTTGTAGGAGGCTGCATAAAGTTTAAAATGTTGATATGGTCATATGGATCTTGGAAAAGTTTTCATTTTTATATTTGTTGCAGGCTGCCTATAAATTGAAATCTTGATGTGAATCTTTAAAATGTTAGCATTTTTATGTTTGTTTATAAACTTGATACGATTTTTGAAAAGGGAAATTTATAAAAAAAAACATTACATTTTGTGCGATTTTGCAGTTTTATCCACTTATACTTTTTTCTTCCTATCAAATATTTGGATAAAACTGCAAAATTGCCCAAAAAAAACATCACACTTTTTTCCAGTCAAAATGGTGAATTTGGAAAAATGTCTTAAAACTTTTATGGTTTGATTGGAAAAAGATAAAGTATTATTGGTTAAACCGTAAAACAGCCCAAAATATAATGGTTTTCTTTTTGTAATTCTCCCTTTGAATCTTGAAAAAGTTCACATTTTTTGCAGGCTGCATGTAATGTTGGGGGTCATGTGGTAAGTGCAGATGTGATCCAAAATTCAATCCTCAGATGCTAAATGTGCCGTTCTGGGCAGGTATTATTATAATTTTATTAAACTCAAGATATGCTTAAACATTTTTCATTCGTATATTTTTAAATAAAAAAACTGATATTACTTTATTTGTTTGTGTAATGGCTTCGATTATTATTATCTTCAAGACAAAAGTTCAAATCGGGAGATGCACGGCAAGATTACGCAATTGACCATCCCGAACCACTTTTGCATTTTGCACTTTCTTCAGGATGCCATTCTATTATGACAAAGAAATAGCAACCTACTTTCATTCATTTTTTTTTCTTTTTTTTAATTTATTTATAGCATCTTATTTTCATTTCATTCTATTACAACATTGTACTTTGAATTGTTTTCTTATTAAGGCTTTGTCAAACTCGTACGAGTCGAGTCAATTTATACCCAAAAAGAGTCGACTCGGTAGTGTCTACTTTCATTTCTTTATATGCCACATCGTACTTTGAAAAAAATTCCCGATTTATTCAATTATAATAGTAGTGAAAATTGCTTTGTTGGGAGTTTTAATTCCAATGTTGATTTACCTCTCACATGATGCTTATGCTTCTGTGGGCCAACTCAACTCAGGGTTGTTGGAAGAATAACCGTTTTGCAAAATAGGAAGAGATGAAAGAAGAATGCTATAATAAACTAATCTACAAAAGTACATTGTTATTTCTTACATTCAACCCAATAATCTATTCACTATACAAATCTTAAAACAATATAAACTCATATCTTGTTTGTTGTTTTTACCAGGTTCGTATCCTAGTAATCCAAGAACTTGAAGTTGCAAAAGAAGAATTTGTGAGGGCTACATTTGGTGTAGGGAAGGATCATATTCGTAGGATTCTTTTACCAAAAATGGTTGAAAGTTTTGCAAAAGATTCTGGATGATGGAGATGATCGACATCCGCCTAATGTCAACCATCAAGTGTTTTCATTTCTTTTCTATCATATGAATATCTCATAAATTTTTATCATTGATTTATATAAAACAGTTTGGCTATGTTGCATCTTGAGATATATATTGGATAATGCATGTTGATATTTAGTTGATACTATAATTAGTGACTAGAAAAAAACTAATACAACTATTTTTTTTCATAACTTTGTGTTGTTTCATCTTTATACCAACATCAGTTTCATCTTCTTCCAAAGCTTTTAATGAACCTCAATTGTAAGTTTTTCATCTCTTTTGCTATTTTGTACATAAATTTTGGTAATTTGACTTTAAATTATTGTAATTTGAAGGGGTCATTTTGCTCTTTTGCCTTGGGCTTCTTATCAGTTTTGTTCAGCCCTTACAGGATTTGCATTGAATGGCTCCTAAGTGTTCCCCTACTCTATATTACATCTTTTTTGCATCTTATTAACTTATTTAATAATCAAATTTCATGTAGTACTAGAACCTTTGAAATACTAACCAGTGACTTATAAAGAGTAACCCAAAAATGCATATGAATCACTTGGAGATTATGTTAGCAAGTTTGGAAGAGAGACTTTGGATATCTCAAACTTGGATGTTGCCATAACCATGGAAGCTTTCAAGATGGTATCGTAGAAAGATTTTCCTTTTCATGAAGATCTCTATGCAAGAATTGGATGAAATAAAAAAAATAAGACATTAAGATTCATTAGACTGGAAGAGGACAGGAAGATCCAAAATTATTTACACCTCTACTCTACATGCCATGTATTATCAAAGTATGTTACCATCTCATAAAGTAGCAACATACAACATTGTTTACGTATTGTCCATTAATATTTCAACACCTCACCATATTTCCAATCCTTACCATTTTTACCTTTTAAACCACATCAGATAACTCAAAATCAATTGTAATCACATTCCGAAGATCATCACAACATTTATCAACGATATTCACATGATAAAATGTCGAAATCTCATAATGTTTATAAAATGACCAGAATACCCCTATGGTCAAAATATTCTTCAAACATAAATACCATAGTTTACAGAATGAGTATTATATATAGTTTTCGCAACGTAAAACTCTTTTTTGCTGCAAAAATGATTTTGATGATCCTTACAACAAAAAAGTCTTTTTTTTAATGAAAAATATGATTTTCATAAAATAATAAACAAATTCTCATTTCAATGTAAATTTCACATTTTTTAGCATATAAACTAAATATACCTTTTGGTGGTGAGTGGGGAACATACAAATGGGCAAATGGCGGTGGTATGTGGTGTCGAAGGTGGTAGTGGTGGCGATGGTGGTGGGTGGGTCGTGGTGGTGGTAAAGGTTATGTTGTAAAATAAATCAAGGGTAATAAGGTAAATTGTCACTTTTCTTCATAGTAGGGGATTAATTTATCATCTTTTTGAAGGAAAGTGTTTTCCCCCATTTGATGAAAAGTTTTTTCCTTTAGGATTCCAATTCCATTATATAAAGTTGTACCAAACACCGAATATGGTGAAACTGGATTCTTTTTCCCCCCGAATTTCAGTCCATTCCAGCGAACAAAATGCACCCTAAGTAAAATTTAATATTATTTTATTATTAAGCATTATTGGAAAAGAATTTTCAAAATATAAATAGAAATGTATTAGGAAACAGTATTTTATTGAAAATATGATAAAGCTGTGATGTATATTGTACAAGGGTGTATGTGAAACTTTTTTAAATAATACAGAAATCGAAACACCAAACTGGAACAACTTTTACGGTTTAAGAAAAACTGATTTTGGTCCAGTTTGGTTTTCCTATATATAATAACCCAAACAAACCGAAATACCCAAAAAATGCCATATATTTTATATGATAGAGATGGGAAGGATATCCTTTACTTTGTGTCTTTTAGTTCACATGATTTTGTAGACAAAATTTCTCTACAAGGATGTGATTCATTCGTAATAACGTTTTTCATAAGAGTTTATATAGAACATTTTTTTCACATAAATCAACAATTTTTCTTCCTTTGAGATCTTAAACGTGGAAAGGTGTCCTCCAACCATAGGTTAAGATTTCAAGTCTCGCTTGAGACTAAAGGTGTGGTTAAGTGGATGTGTGTAAGCTCTTCTAACTTCTAAGAAAAAAAAACATCCCATGTCTTAAATGAACAAAAAACACAACTTAAGACATATCTTAGCAGCATATCTGTCAAATTTTACTCGGTGCACAAAAAATCTCGGATTGTGTTAGCATTTGCCCTCGAATTCTTTTCCGGGCTTTGAAGAGAAGCCCATGAACTTCATGAAAGTGAGATGCAGTTGCAGATATTGTATCTTGGATCCATTGAAGAACTTCCTTGTAAGGGGTGAATATCCGATCATGATCCTCATCACTCAAAAGCTGCCAATCAAAATATTGAGTTTGGATCAAGATTTACCCAAAAAAAAAAAAAGCAAATACCATCCATGTACACTGATTGATTGTATATGATTGCCTGAAGTCGCATGATTTCACATACTAAACTAAGATCTGCAATTGATGGTTGAGAGTTTCCAACCATTTCTTTGGCTGCTTAAGGGCTTGAAGGGAAGCCTTCGGGTGCCATGATAGTGTTCAAAAAAAGTCCAATTGAAACTAGAAAAGTATGAAACCAAATTCTAATAATAATTGGAAGATTTTAAATCATCATTAAGAACTTAATTTCCCATGTTAATGTCACCTGAACCACACGTAAATTGGAATGATGCCAGTCTACAACAGAGTGGATTCTAGCTCTTTGGGATAAATCACCAGGATACCTATATATCAATGTAGTTTATAGAAGTTTGGAATTTGTATGCAGAGATATTGAAGGAGAAGAAAACCAGACTTACCAATGATTAGCAACTCCGGGGAATGAACATGATGAGTAGAAAAGAATTGCATGACTACAAACCACAAAAAATTCACCTTATGAAAACCGAGAATTGATATTGTAAAATAAACTAAAACCTCTTTAAAAACGAGAGAAAGTAGAAACAGAAAAAGACCTCTCAAACAGCTTAAAACGTGTCCATCGACTATTGCTGGAACTTGACGATTTTATCTTTTTTAATCTATATGAATGTTTTATATCTATCTTCTTGTTTTTTTTTTTCATATGAACTTAGCACAAATCAATGCAGATGGTAGCAAGCAAACCCTTAAATTCAGAGGAGAATAGCTGATTTTTCAAGAGTCAAGACCTCTACTCGGATTTCCTCGAAGTCAATTCCATTTATCCTTCAAATAACATCAAAAAAAAAAGCCATGAGAAACACGATTTTTGACAAGCATTAGATAGAATATCACTTGCGCAATGATATTGATACAGATCCAATCATGTTAAGCCCAAATGTAGCAAAGCCCAGGATAGTTCAGGTTTACTCAAGAGGGGCAAAAATGTCAATTGGAGAAAGTGGCTAATAGGGTACTGAGGTGAGAGAAAGAATAAAAGGGAAGGATTGTGTGCATGTTCTGATATATTTTTTGTTTAGTGATTTTATCATTGGCTCATAGCTTTAGGGCGTGTTTGACATGGAGCGTTTGAGAGCTTCTAGCTTCTAGCTTTTGACAAAATGCTCCGTTTTGAACATAAAGTCTTGTTCGGCACTACAAGCTTCTAGCTTTTGGTTTAAACAAAACGCTCCAAATCCAAATGCTACTTCATGTAGCGTTTAACAAAACACTACAAGCTACAAGCTACCCGCTACAAGCCACCCGCTACCAGCTAATTTTGCCGAACACGCCTTTAGTGCTAGTGAGAGAGGGAAGATTCCCTGGAGTTGGTTACTTATATTTCCTTTTATCTTGTTCTTCCTCTACAATCATTTGAGTAATAGTGAATATCATCTTCTTCCATAAGTTTCTCCATCAGATTCTTAATTTCACTGTTACATTGAATTTATACATTTGAAATCCTCATTATATAGGTAGAGGTTCATTTGAGACCATGCTAATTTTGTGAGACATGGTAACGTGATCCTAGTCACTTATCTTGGAGATCAAAAAAATAAAATAAAAATTATAAATTGCAAAATAAAAGGAAAATCCAAAAATTATTTTTTTTAAAATATTATTTTCGTTATTTAATTTATCAAAAAAAAATTAAAAATAAAAAAAATCACCGTTTTTCTCGAAATATGAATGAAATATTCTAATAGAATATTACACTGTAAATAATCTATTAAGCACAGCTCACACAGAAAATAAGAGATATTAACAACTCGTGACCAAGAAACTCAAATGATATTGATAAACTCCGTGCTTTCGAGAATGCTTTCGAGAGGCAAGGAACTCTCCAAGATAGTTTTCACTATGGTGCTGTTTGTTTTTGAAGCAAAAATCCATAAAGTCTGCGAACCACCTCTGCAACCTTCTGCAGTAGAAGATGTGGACCAAACGACTGCAGAGTGTAATAAGAAGCGTGTTTGTTTTTTTAACATCTACATGTTGTTGTAGATATTAAAAAAATTAAAATAAACTGATTTTATAATCCGAAAATAGTTTTTTAATACCGAAAATTTAGTAATTTATGACATTTCGGCAAGAATTTATGATATGTCAGCAAAAAATAATGATATTTTAACAAAAAAATAAAGATATTTTAGCATAAAATAATGATATTTCATCAACAAATTATTATTATTCAATATAAAAAAAAGAAATTTTTTTTTAACAAGAATAAACAAAATAAAAACGAAAAAAAATGTGAAATAAAATTTCAGCAATATATAATCAATATTTTAGCAAGAAAAAAAGAATAAGAAGAGGTTGGAAGAGGTAGGATGTAACACCGTAATTTTCCAAACAAAATTTTCATTTTAAAATCGCATACTTTTCGTAACATATTGTATAGAAATCTCGTTTATTCAAATTACAAAACACAACTCCATTAATAAGCCAGGATCCTCAAAACGTGTCTCTTTCTCTGGTGTGTACAATCAAGTCGGTGCCTTCCCGCGATCCTCTGAGATACCCGAAACACATAACATATAACACGGTAAGCACGAACCTTAGTGAGTTCCCCAAAATACCACATATAACACATATTAGCCACTCGAGGCTATAACTCTGTGGGCCCTCTGGTCCTAACTCTGTGGACCTTCCGATCCTAACTCTGTAAACTCTGGAATACACATAGCATAAATCACATAGAAATAATGCAATGCAGCACATCACATACATAACATACAAGATACTCTGTCACATAACTCTAATTACCACTCATGGTAAAGT